CAGAATTAAGAATTTTGAAGAACAAGATCTCCATATCCAGTTTGCACTTGCCTACTTGCCCATGTCATTGAACACGCGATGCCCATGGATTCATTGGAAAAACCGTGTTGGACGCACGAGGACGCTCTCTTCCAGGAACAAGGGCAGCCAGGACAGCAGTGCTGTCGCACAGCCGAACCAACACATAGACCCCCAACAGTAAAGCTGTTAAAGGGCTGTTCAGGGCACATCCCTAAACCATCCAACATAGATCCCAAAGCAGAGTAAAAGCATACGTAGTACAGCAAAGTAAAAGCATAGTAAAGGCATATAGACCCCAACCAAACCTATAAAACCATCCAACACATAGACCCCAGTACTGTCGAGCAAGCGGTGGTACAGCTGTGAACCACGGGGCCCGGAACCACGGTCGACCCCGTCGACGGATCGGGATCCGTGTGGGGCCTCGGTCTCCTGGATCGTCTTATCGTACTCGTTCCGGGCCTGGACGGCCAGAACCGTGCAGGCTGAGTCCAGGGACCCCACAAAGCATCCAAGTACGGTCTTTGGATTTCTCACGGGGCTGAGTGGGAGTTTGGAAGAAATCCAAAGACCAGGGACCCCAGAGCCCCAAGTAGGTTATGGTCAGGGATGGTTCCTGGCTGTTCGGAGCACATGGAATCCCGAGAAAACCACAGGGTTGGTCGAAACGGAAAAGGGTCCTTTCACCAACGGGAAACATTCTCAGGTTCCTATGGGATCGTTTGTGGGAGTGTCATACTTTCTTGGGGGATATGGGAGCTAGGCACGAATAGGATGCGCATGGTATTACTACCAGGACACCCGGGCCAGGGGTGTCCATTGATAGCCCCTTAGAGGTTAAGGGGTGTTCATTAACACCCCGACTGTGGGTCCTAGTATATTGCAGTGGATTGAAGAGTAGATGGGACACAATGTCCAAACGGTGGTTTGTATGGACAGAGTGTAAAGGATTCCGAGAGTCTAAAAGTCATCGTGGTTCTTGTGCATGTTTGTGCCATCTACTTTGAAACCGCTGAATCGGGCCGCACCTGAGTCTTGCGCACCAGGCTTTCATTGACCTTCTGCAAACCTTGGAGGGCGGGCTGGGTCTCATCCAAACAGTGGTGCAAAACACATCATGAGCTGGCTCCAGGAAAGTTCAGGCACACATCTTACATCATCTTAATTCATCTTACCCCAGTGACTTGGTGTTGACTTGGAAGAAAACCAGGTGGCATGTTTCCCTCCAGTGCCGGCCAAAGAGAGACCCAACTTGCTTGACCAAAGTGGCCGGCTGGGCGACGTGGCCGGCTGGGCGACAACAAGGCACCCTTCACGACTTAGCTTAAAAAAACAACGGGCCATGTCTTTATACTCACAAGTCCCTCGTCGAAGTCCTGAAAAGAACATACCTCTTCGAGTCACTAGATCTTGCAGTGATGTAGTTCATCCAGCCCATAACTATCATCAAAATTGCTTAATCAAATTTTCTCTATAATCAGTGATCCTGGCTTCTTTCTATATCTCTCTAATCATTTCATGCCTATGAAAACAACACGATGCCTATATCTGGGCAGTCGGGCGGTCGGTCAAAATGGAGAGTTCCTTCTGAATCTTGGCCTTGTCCTCCTCTTCCTGGAGCATAGGACATAGTGACATGGTGGGTGCAAGTGATGAGGGGTGGGAAGACCAAATCAAAGCCATCACAGTAACATTTGTCGGGGGTCTAGAGTGGCGGGGGCTGGATTATCTTATAACTAATAGGTATAAAAATGACAAGCAAAAGGTCAAACCCAGCTATACCGGCCCTACACTAGTTGTTTCAGTTTTACGGGCGCCGCCTATACAACCTCGCATAATATAACCATACGTGATAGGTAGCATTCGCCAAGCTGGGAAGTGGAGGACAAAATGGAAAGCAATTCTCGACCGCTTCCATCGACAAAACAGCAATAAAGTCACACACTGTGGCCAGTTTTCACTCCGCCCATTAGAAGCCCCTGCGCCCTTTCAATTCGTATTAATCCCTATTTTTAGGTTCAAATAGGCCCCCGACTGGTTTGTCTCGGTGTCCCCAACGTGCGAAGCCCGGTGCCGCGAAGCCCTTTCTCCAGCCTTCAGGATCTGACGATTCAACTCCTCGCGCTTCTCCCGGAGATCTTCGATGGACTTCACCAACTCCTCGGCACGCGCACGGTTTTTGTGACGTGTGTGCGGTGGTTTTGTTCTTAGTTGTGTTGTGCGTGTGTCTTGTTCTGTTGTCCGCTAGTTGTCTTGTTATGTTGTCCGCTAGTTGTTAAAATATTATCTTTTTGACTTTATGTGCAAGCAGGGCGGGGTGGTCGAGCGACAATTGTTTTGTTGCCCTCCAGCTAAAGAACACGAGTGTATGACAGTGCATGCTTGGCCACTGGCCCAGTGAGGCTTGCTTGTAAGGAAGGCTCATCAAAGTTTCAACACCGTTTATGAATCACCAGCTTTTTAAGCTTGGCCTGCAGTGTCGTTGGCTTATCTGTATCTTTCAAAGCTGACAGCTACCCTAATCCAAGCCGACCGTGCGATACCGTGCCGATACCGTCGATCTCGCCGTAGGAATTTCCGGCGTGAAACGGCCAAGCTTCATGTCGATGGTTCGGGCGGGGGGGCAGATCTCAACCCCCGAACTGCCACCTCTAAGACTCTAAGATGAAAAGATTTTGGGGTCGGAAGAACCAAAACCTTGGACAGTTTATTCCAAGACGTGCAGTCTGCGAAGACAGTGCACCTGAGCGAAAATAGAAACACCGAGGCACCAAGGTTAGGGCGGACGTCATACACTTCCATAAAGACGACGTGTGTTTTTTGGGTGGGGGGCGGGACCCTATGGATCCACTGCCCTCTGACACTTTCTGTCCCTAGGGACCCAAGTACCTTCTCAGAAGGTGATTGGAGGCAGTGTTATGTAGGTTTGGAGGGTCCAAGTACCTTCTGAGAAGGTATGTGGATCCAAAATGATCCAAAGGGATTCACTAGAGACCCAAAAAGTGGCTGGCTCGTGTGTTGCAGTCCTTCATTGGGGATGGAGCGGGGTAGCTCATCGACGAACCGAAGCGGGTCTTTATTGGTGAAGTATGCGCCTCCAAGACCACTACCTGTTGAAGATGAGCAAAGTAATGAAAATTGAACATGTCTGGCACAAAAATAACACACATCCTTTGATATTCAATGTCTGGCAAGAATAGAACATCCTTGAGATATGTCAGCCCCGACATAGCCTGCCTCCCTCATTTTCGCTGGAAGATACAGGTTTGTCCCCATGGATCCACATACCCTCTGAGGTGATTGGAGACACATTTATATAGGCATGGAGGGTCCAAGTCCCTTCTGAGAAGGTGTGTGGATTCCTCGGGAGTAGAATGTTTCAGCAACCCTTCCAAGAGATGATTTTTGAGACCTGAACTGGGACCAAACAATTTGTGGCACATATGGGGGAGGCGAAAAAAAAGGGCTGTTCAACCTCTCTAGGTTTTGTTCAACCTGATCCGTGCTTTAAAGTGGGCTCTCCCAATCCTAAAAAGGTTTTCAGGTAGTGATCCACCTTTTGCATCTCTTAATCCAGTTCTCCTAGGTAGGGCAAACGAGACGGAGTCACTCGTCTTTGGTCACCGTCCCAGGCACGTTGTTGTAGTTCTGCAGGGTGGCACCTTGAGAAGCCATTGCGAAGTAGCTGACCTCACTGCAGGACTGCTTCGCCCGGCACGCGGGCGATGGTGAAAACTGGATGGGCAGGGATTCGGTGCTGCTTCAAACCGGATCAAACGGGGCAAGGCCTTGCTATCCCAATTGAAGTGGATCTCCAAGTGAATCCACTCCAAGAACCACACATGCTCACCTGCCTTGCCCCCTAAAAAAGAACCTTGGGGCCATGCAGGGTCGGTCATGTCCTTGCAACCTCGGTGACCAGGAGTCTACAAAACTCCTGGTCGGAAAGTGCTCCATGAGTCGTCAACAACCCCAAACCATTCATGCATGTACCTGGACCTTTCAAGGGGTGCTCAATGGAGATCCACAGGTGGTGTAGGGCAGCCCATTCGAAACCCCTTGGAAGGTGCTGGCATACATGTCTACATCCACCCTTCCCAATGCAAGATTCCAGTCCCATGGATAGTCTGGGACCATATACTCATCCCTCAGCTTCAGTGCAGCTGGGAGGCAAAGTGGAGATGATGCGATCGAGTGCAGTTGGAGCGGTGCAGCTTGAGCAGCTTGAGCAGATCAAACGGTGCGCCGTTGAAGACTGAACAAACCACTTGAATCCACTCGCACGCCCGCCCGCTGGAAGTTTGTGTGATGACTTTAAAACCCGATATAACTCAAACCCTCCATGTAAGGGGAAAAAAACACCTACATTAGGGGGTAGGTTCAGGTGTCGGGCACATATATCTTCCACTCCAATTGCTCGCGGACTGGGATTCTGGGGGGTTAATGGACACCCCTTAACAGCTAAGGGGCTATAAATAGACACCCCTTGGAGGGTCCTGGTAGAAGTGGCCCCATCCGCGATGCAAAGAGCGCCCTTTTTCTTCAACGCATCTGGATCATGGCATTGGCCAGGTCCAAGGGGGGAGTGCCACCGGGTGTTTGGAGCATCAGGAGGATTAGCTGCCCAAACCACCAGCTGTACCCGGGATGGCCCATAAACGACCTCCATATCCAAGATCTGGGAAGCGTGAGGTGGGACTGTGCTCTGTTTGGATGATTTGTTTTGCTTTGCACTGATTGATAAGGGCTTTTCAAGGCTCAATTGAAGAGTGTTACCAGAAGCTCCTGATTGGGCTTTGAAATGCAACTTGAAAACATGTCTTCCCCAACAAATGGAGTGTAGCCTATGTCAATATGGACTTTCTTACGTTTCAGGCACGTTTTGGACCATAAACCCTTCTGCAGCTGCGGCCTCTCGGGCCTTGCCTCTCATCCTCCCGGTGGCCCACTGGTGGCCGATCGAATTGTTCCCATGCATCCAGGCTCTTATGGCTATGGCCTGGATACATGTGGAACTTGCAAGTCATGAGAGGAACTGGCAGTGGCTAGTCATCAGCGAGAGATAAGTATGCATGGGAAAATCCAAACAACAATAGGACACTGGTATATATACGGTATAAGTATAATCTGGTAGTATCTAGGGAATCTAGGGTTTGGTCATATTCTATATATCTACTCCAGGATGGTTGTATGGTCTTTCTGTAGCCAGCGTATGGGCCCACTAGCTATAAGCCTCAATACTACTGTACTACTGGCTAAGCCATGGCTCGCTCGGCTTCTCCTGAACATAATGTTGTTGATCTCAAGTTTCTCAGCTTCTTTAGGCAATTGGGGCACACATACAACGCTCACGAATCCAAGACTAACACCCACACACCACCCATGGGACTCGGACATGTCACTAGATTGGCTCCTCAAACCCGTCCTTTTCGTTGTGTCTGGAAATTGGTTTCGACTGCCTCATGATGGATTCCCAAAAACAATGCCAACGATCTTGCAGTGACCTGTCATGCGACGTAGCCAACTCGCCAGCACATAACCTCTCAGCGATGCAGTGATGCAACGGACCTCAGTTTGTGACCAGTGACCTGCCTGCACTATCAAAGGTCTCTGTAAGTCTGCAACTACCGTGAAGAGGGCAATTTTGTTGGCGCCGAACGACTATTCTACCCGGCTCATCGTAAGAAATAGAGGATACATTTCAAGACGCGTTCATGCTCATGGGGGTCTCAAAACACTGATGAGCAATGAGCACCGAGACGGTTCAACTCAACCCCGAGCCTTGAATCAATCCTTGAATCCAGCCCTTCCTACGGGTCCCATGCTCAAGACAAGCCACACTGATTCGCTCAACGCCTTCGCTTCCTGAGTACCATCGCCAAGGATCGTGGAGCCCCCATGGTATTTTTGTTGGGATTGCCCTGGGTGGATCTTGCATACCTGGACCCTCCAAGGGGTGTCCAAAGGACTACCCCGCACTACCTATAGGCTTCCATTGGGCACCCCTTGGAGGGTCCTGGTACTGGGATTTCAAGGTCACATCTCTTCAGTGTATTGATGGCCATAAAACCCGAGAAGCCCCGAAGTTCTGAACCACTCCTGGTTCCTGCAAGTGCTGTAATTGATGTGTTCTTTTTGTTGGCTGGAAGCTGACCATGCTTCACTAGGAGGGTGCTCGGCAAGGGATCCACAACTTGCAACTGGTGCCAAACACAAGTCAGGCCTTGATGTGGCTCACGTGAGTTGGTCTGGTCTCACGCAAAGAAAAGGGACACACAGCACAGCACACAAACAAAAACAGGATATCTCTATTGACTCAGTGGCTTCCTCGACTTCAGCCCTGTGCCTGCAGTTTTGCTTCTGCCACTTCTGCGTGTGCCGCAAAATCCAACCGAAACTTCAAACCCTTCGGCGCTCGGTTGGTCAAGTGGCTTCTCCTCCGCCCGCTTCAAAGACCTCTTGGAGGGCTGATCGCGGATCCGCATGCTGGGCACCGTGTGCTGGCGGTGTCTGGCTTCGCTGCGGTGCCTAGGTCGTCATGAAAAACCTGTTTGGCTTGGAGGACTGCCGTGCAGGGTTTTGCAGTGCAAGAAATACGTGTCCTATGATTTTTGTTTGCAAAGCTCATGTTCAAGGAGATCTAATCTTGGTTTACAGGTCTTGATGCTCAGGGACAGGCCCTTGCTCTAATTCACGTAGACGCTGATGATGTGGATAGCGGGAGGTTGACCTTCGCGTTTCTTTCCGCATGAAAAGTACATAACACCCAACTACTGCCTGAGAACATGCTTGTGGAGGGAGTATAAGGTACCCTCTGAGGAGGTAGTTGGAGGCTGAATCAAATTCCAAAACTCACGACCCTGGGGTATGTCGTCATACACATGAGAGGTCAAACACATCACTTCCTTCCAGCTGATTCCGCCCAATGGCCCAGCCCAAAACACCCTGGACAAATTATACATGACACCTGAAAACCTCTGGGTTGTATAGTAGGCTAGTGAAACTAGTTGTTTGTGCGTTTGGATATCTCAAAACAAGGCGCTGAAATAGAGGAACATCGTCTTCCAGTCTGGTTCATGATATCTCAAAACCACTGGGTTGTAGAGGAACATCGTCTTCCAGTCTGGTCTGGCTCATGCCATTCCATGTGGGTCTCTTCCTGCGGCGTGACATTCTCACTTTTTCGCCCAGCCACGACCGGACGTCACCACGGTGATCTGCGGCGGCAGACGGCGGTGCACGGAGGGGGTCGACGGCGGTAGACGGGGGCACCGGCACGGTGGGTTTCTGCACAGTGTTAATCCCTCCGGACCCGGAGGCTCGGTTTTTGGCACTGTCATCTTAGGTGCTGGGAGCAAAACCAAGCCCTAGGGCTCCAAGTACTTCCTCAGAAGGTGTTTGGAATGGGTTTGGAGGGTCCAAATACACAAATCTACAAATCTGTAGCCCAAGGCACTAGAGTGCGCCATCCCAGTGAACTACCATTGTATAGGTCACCATCCCATGCTCCAAAGTCTGACTTAATGAGCCTACCGCAAACCCAAAGCATCTGTGGTGCTGGCCCGGCTGCCTAGGCAGCTTCCCCCCCACCGGACGCGTTGCATAACCATGTCCAGCGCCTCCATGGGACTTCCAACCACGGGACTTCCAGTCCTGCACACAGGGATCTTGGAGTAGCCTCACCAAGAAAAGCGAACATATACGATGTCCTATCCCAGACACTCCATGTGACTGCCATATCTACCTACATTGGGGTGGTTTGAGGGGTCAATGTAAGCGAACATACCAGGACCCTCCTGTCGGGGTGCCCTGTCTGGAAGCCTAGGCCGGTCGTGTGGGGTAGTCCAGCCAGGACACCCCGACAGGAGGGTCCAGGTATACGATGTCCTATTATGATCACCAATGGAATTTATTCATTCAATTCAAAGAATTCCAGACACGCATAGACACTCCATGGGACTGCCATCTATGCCGATCAATTGGGGTGGTTTGAGGGGTCCGAGATACATGGAGTCTTTGGGAATTTCATATTTTATCAAAACCAAGTCTGGTCACCACCTGCCACTTTCTTGTCTCCACGAGCCATCAAAGGAGACCTCTATAGAGTCAGCTGCTGTAGAGTCAGGCGTGAATTAAGGGCCCCCCTTTTTCTTCCTGTTTTCCGGTGCAAAGCCGGGCTAACTCGACACGGGTGTCCTCCTGGTCCTTCCATCTCCTCGGTCAAAAGACTCGCGCGCAGGCTCCGCAGGCTTCGACACCGAGCGTGGTGATCCAAGGAATGACATCGTGACATCGGGCTGAAGGACTGATCGTCACCTATCCCAGACACGACCCATGGGACTGCCATAGGACGGCCACCCCATTGACCCCCCTGGCACCACCCCAATGTAGGCAAACATGGGTTACATGGAGTGTCTGGGTATTTTTCTCTCTTGGTTCCCTCCAAGTACCCCAAACGATCCCATGGCATTGGCAAATATATGGCCTACATGACTGGTGGTGTTGGGTGGTGAATGTTGGTCATATGTGCCGTCCCATGGATCTGGTGTAGCCATGTCAATTCTGGAGGACAACGAGCCAGGTCGTGCGCAACCCCTATGAAGTCCTGCGGGGCTGCAGGACACAGGAACTCGACCTTGCTGCTCGTGAAGGAGGGGCGGAACGTCGCTCCACTTCGTCACTTCGTGTAGTCCTTCCCCGGTCGCAGACTCAGAATAGAAAAGGTCTCACATAAATCTGAAACATTATCCCACAGGGTCCAGGAATTACTTCCATGCTGGAGCTAGAGGACATCCTCTGGATGGTCCTTTTCACCCTTATTATGTTTGCTTGCAGTAAGGCAGCAGACCACCAATAATCCAAAAAAATACGCACAAAGTTAAGGCGTCTCCTGTCACTTGCCCCAAGAAAGAAGAACCCATAGGGTCCAGGTACCTCCTGAGGATGGTCTTGAAGGTGAAAGTACTTCCAGAGAATGGTCTTGGGGGGTCAAAGGACATCCTCAGGGTGGTCCTGGACCCTTAGGGGAAGTAACACATGCAATATCTGCCTCCCAGTCTCTTATGCTCCTTCCAGTTGCTGGAGACAGAGACGGTTGAGGCCCAGCTCTTCTCTGCCCGCTTTTCCTCCCAACTCCGCTGCTCCCAAGTGTTCCAGTGACCTGCCCAGCGGTGCTGAGGTGCCGCCGCATATGCAGAAGTCCAGGGGCTACAGTCGTACATGTTTGTGCGTAAGTAAGTTCACCACCAACTGAACATTCAGGCTACTCAATGGGGAACAACAATAAACACAGTCAAAGGCATCCATTTTCTGAGCTGTGCACGGCAAGCCGCCCACAGCATGCCCCTGTCGGTTCCCTAAATGAACCGTGATTCACTCACCAGCCACTGACTTCGCCAAACATGCACGCAGCGACTAGCCATGCGTGAACCGTGCATGGAAGACAAGCTTGTGCCGCGCAAGTTTCTCTGCATGTGTTTCTCGCTCAAACAACTGGAACCATTGATGCCTCAGGAGAAATAACTCACTACTCATATCTACTCACACTGAAATCACTCCATGGAAACAACAAACAGAGTACCCCCTCTTTGTTAAAAAGAGAAGGGGTCAGAAAGGGTCAGCCGTCCTTAGTTTCCTCTTGCTTTGGGGTGTGATACAAATCTACTTATTTACTCCTCCATTTGTTTTTCCCATTTTTCGACAAAAGAAGAAACTCCCAAAGCCTCAGCAGCTTCCCAAGCACCCTCCCCCGGCTCCGCTGTTCTGCCCTGGCGCTTCCCGCGCGTCCCGGCCTCGTCCGCTTCGGCCCGCGACGGCCGCCGCGAAGGCCCGCGCCTCGAGGAACGGAGGGAGGGACCTACTAAGGGTGGAAGTGGTGTCCTCCCGCGGTTGGTTTGTGGTTTTTTTTCACTGGTCCATCTCGCAAAATATCACTGGGACAATGCGGAGCTATTATGTGTCCGATTCGATTCACAGTTTCACACAATTATGTGGGGTGTATTGTTTGAGGCAAGGTGTGAGCTGCACTTCAAGTGGGTAATTACTGCCTGAAGATCTTGATCTTGTGCCTGAAGGGTTGTGAAGTGGGTTGTGATTTGATCTGATATTCACTAAAGGGACAAACTTTATCTTGATGAATCACATCACCTGGATCAGGACATCCCAGCCAGCATTGTTGCAATGACAAGTTCTGAGCACCCTGACTACAAAAGAGAGAGAGAGAGAGAGATAGAATGAGATAGAAACAAAAGATTCTATACCCTTTGCACCAAGCGCAGCGCAGCGCAGTTTTCTAGGTTTCCATCCCTGGCCTTCAACGTGTCATCCTGTTGAGGGCCCTCCAGCTCCTTGGTGCGGCGTTCATCGCTCGGAATCGACTCTGCACTGCATTTGGCCCAAAGAGGCCCAGAACTGACCCAGAGATGCCCAACAAACAAGGAAAATGACCTGTCTATTCTCTGAACTTGAGCCCAAAAGGTACCCAATCATTCTTTCATGGAGCAAACGTTTGGAACCGGTGGCTGAACAGCGCAGCCAACACAGCGAACCGATGGATCGACCCCCAAACAGGTCAACATGGGCTGTACATGGAGCGTGTTGGGGGTTGCAAGTGATGTTCTCCAAAGCACCGAAAATTCTTTTCTGGGAGGTTCGGTAGTCATCGAACAATGAACAATGACTTCAGTTGGGTCTATCCAGATTTACCAGGGCCTCAGTGGATGGTGCTCGTTGGGTCGCAGGCCTTTCTCAAAAATATTAATTTGCTTGTTTACCAACTGCGAGAGGTAATGGGACAAACCCAAACCATGACCATCGACACGAACCTTGGAACCATTCCAACACTAAACCGAGTTTGATTCTTTTGCCAAACCATCCAGTTCCAGGCGCGATTCGTGTCATCTTGCATAGCGGGACCCATCCAACCCATGCCATCGATCTACTTCTCTTCCCAGGGGTTTTCGGACAGTTTCCCTCTTCTAGCGCACATTCGTAATGTATCAATGCCTCTGATGATTCTGATTGGTTGTCCGTGCCTTCCGAGCACTGTGCCTTCAAACGTTATCTAAAAAACCTTATCCAGCCAAAGATACTGGCACATCATCCCAGCTCTCAGAAGGGGGCTTCCCACTGCCGTCGCACATTAGATGTCCTGCATACAGTCGGCAAACAACTGGAATGGAAAATCACATTCAGACCTATATATACCCTAAGGCTCCTGGCCCACCTCCTGAGAAGGTGGTTGGGGTGGGTTTTGGGGGTCTAACCACCTTCTGAGGAGATGGTTGGAGCCCTAGGGATACATAAACATAGTTCCCAAACAACAACTGGCAATGTATCAAGTATCAAACATGCTGTGCCAGTCCGAGCGAGTGGCCAAACGCATGACTTGTTAGGCAGCTCTTAACAGCACTGAATCGGGTAATTTCACGAATAAGCTCGCTCACACACTCCACTCAGTGCCGTGTCTATACTCATTATAGAGGGAATGTCTCACCGCAACTCGCTGCGGTTCCAACCTCACGATTTGCAGTGAGAAAACATTTAAAAAAACGCATTCGAAGGATCCAGTTGTACCAAACCGAAGGTGGCACACTGAATCCCTCGGGTTCATTGACATTTGTGAGCCTTCAAAGACCATTGGACCATCATGCTTGACCAGGTTTGTAGTCTAAACCAGGACCAGGGATTTCCGGGTCGGGGTGGTCCATGGATACCCCTTAACCGCTAAGGGGCTATAATTAATTGGACACCCCTTAGGGGGCCCTGGAAATTCCGGCTCTGGCTCTTTGGGATTCAGACATATTCAGACCATATATGAATCAATGCTTGGCCAGGACACTGAGGGCTCGCCAACCACACGAAGACTCGCAGCAACTTGTCACAACTCGCACACTCCCAAGACACCGAAGACCTGTCGCTCGCTCACAGCCTGCGTTGTGAGAAGAAAGAAAGGGAGGTATATAGTGTTCACCGTCCCAGGGATCCATGTCCATTTCACTCAGGGACCTCCGACATGGTGGTGTCCCATATCTTCGTCAAATAGCTGGCCCAATCTGCTCTCCTTCTCCACGGCACACGCCACAGCGCACCTGGTGCCGCAGCTCCCAGCGCTGCGCGCGGCGGAGGGCCTCGTGGGGGCAGCCGGTGCCTGACTTGAAGTTGTGGCCCTTGCGCCAGCACAAGTCACCTGAGATTCACCCAGGATGGAGTCCAGGACATGTGCATAGCTGTGGACGCACAAACATCAAATGAGCTCCAGCACCAAGCCAATGTCCAAGCAGGGCGGCGTTTTTTTTGAGGGATGTTGAGGGTGAGTCTCCGAATTTGAGCCTCCTGAAGATCTGGTACAGCTCATGAACCCAACTGGTTCGGAAGCCAGAAACATCCAAAAAAGAATCCCAAGTAGAAGGAATCATCCAGCTTGGGGAAAAAGCAAGCACCAGGTCGATGAACTGAACATCCTTCATTTGGAATTGTTGTGGTTGGTTGGGGTGCAACATGTGTGCGTTAAAACAGCTGAACTCGACTGAACTTGTTGGTGTCATTTGATCCAGTCGCATGGAATGAAACCCTCAGCAAAAGCTGTTGAGCAACCTATGGGACTAGTGTTCAAAGCTTGCTGCGTCATCTTCGTCCCCCGCCTTGGAAACGAGACATGCCCTGCTTGCTTGCTCATCTCTGACCACCCATCAGCTTATGTATATACGATTAGAGTGTAGGCCCAGTTCTTTTCAGAACCTATCTCTAAGAGCTTGTGGAAAGCCATCCTCCTGTCGCTTCTCGACCACCTCGAGGCCCGGAGGCCTCCAGGAATTCCGGTCCATTGACATTGAACCAACCTTTGAACCCAACCATGCCAAACACCGACTCACCAGTGATCACCGGTGAGTCTTAAAACAGTCAAATGCGTCGAGAAAAATTAAACACCTCAACTCAACCCGTACTTGGAAGGAAGAAGAAAACCACCCCGAGAACTTACCACCATAACTAGCGTGGGGGATGCGGCCTTTCTCATTTGAGAGATGTGTTTGAAAAACTGTCATCCACTGACCTCATTTTGGCCAGGCCACATTTGTCTTTCGCACGTGGGCAATGCTTCACATTGTGCCCGGTCGCGAAACAAATCCAACACCTGCAAAGCGAGATGAAGGCGATTCTAAAGAGGCGACGGGTGGTATAGTGGATTGAGAGTAGATGGCACAAACCCGAAGAGGTGATTTATATCGACCCCCATCTGTCTAAGGACACCATGAGGTTTGTGCTATATGCTCTGAAACCACTGTATAGATACTGTGGTTGACTATAGACTATACATAGATCCGATGATGGTAAATGATTGAGCTGTGAAGTCGCGACGCTGATGACGCGTGGCAGCCTCGCACTATTTGAATGGTGACACCAGCGGCTTACCTCACGGTTCCTTAGGGCAAACAAAATGTGACAACACCGTCCACATGTGAATCACTCAGCAGCCGGCAAAAAGGTGCTCTGGTCTGTCTGCTTGGTGGTTTCAACTCACTTGATATCACTTGATTTAGTACCCAGTGCATCCCAGTTACCACGTCTATAAGGAACCAGGGATTCGTTCGGTCTATGGTTTTAGTCTTTGGAATGCCTGGTTACGAGCTATAGTGGTTTGCCCGGATGCCCTGGGAGTAGTCAGTGGGGTCAATATTCTATTCCCAAAATTTTCCTGTTGAACATCAAATGATCTGACTTAAGGGGGTCTCAGATGGGTGCCCGTAATCCAAGGGTTTTCTCAGATTGCTGGAAGATTCCACTCAGGTGTCCGTGTGTATTTTGTTTTGGCAAGGCAAACATAGGCAAACCTTGCCACCGGCGTTCAAAGCTCCGTACGCCAGATCCGACCCCATCCTCTCCTGGTCTCTGGGCAGCTTTGCGCGCGATGGTTGGTGCCAAAGCACAGCAGGCAAAAGTGCTTGGAGCCCAGCCTGATCCGGTGTTCCAAGACTCCCTGGCTTTTGGAAATGTGAGACATGGAGAAAACATGGAGAAAACTATGTCCAAAAATGTACAAAATTGCTTGCTGTTCCAGGCTGATGCCGGATGCTTGTGATGTTGAGTCGTTTTTCCCTAGGGCTCCAACCACCTCCTGAGAAGACGGTTGGGGTGGATGCCAGGGGGGTCTAACCGTCGAACATGGGTCAGGAGCCCTAAGCAACCTGAAGTTCCGGAGCATTCAAAATTGAAAAATGAACAACATCGGTCTTTTCGCACTGCAAACATCAAACTTCATGAGAGTAACTGTGCAAAATGGTGCGATGATGCCCCATGAAAGGGGTTCTTGCGGTGTGTTCAGTGCCCCACCTGAAGCACTCCACAATCAACAAAAGGAGCACACTTCTATCAATTGCATGCAGTCGCAAGCCTCCAGTCGGACCTCCTCAAATGGTATTTGGCACCCACCCCAAACCCAGACACCGAACCTCGGAAGGTACTGCAGTTTGAACACCGATCCGCAGCGAGGATCGGGTCGCACCTAGTGAGGTAGCCATCATCCGTGCGCAAGGTCTCAGGCCTTGCGGTCTCGGTGTGTTTCGGGTTCCGGGTTTCGGACTGACCGGTGAAGTGACCCACCGGTGGAACCGGTGGAACCGGCTGTAAGAAGTGTGATCAACAAAAACAGCAATTTTCGAGGGAAACTCAACCTTTCCTACAGCAACCTGCACTTGCGGGCGCATGAGAATTCCGGTGGTACGTGGTGGTACTCAAATATGCAACATACTGAAAGGCATCCCCTCTTTCGAACCAAATCGAATCCCGACACGTCGATTTCTCTCTCTCTCTCTCTCTCGCTTTCACCATCCATGCGCTTCAGCCAAGCTGAAGGGGAGCAAGTGGCCAATGCCAATTCATGGATTTCCTCGTTTCCCCACCCCCCACCACCACCATCGACGCTTCACCCTCCGCTGACAGCACCGGTCTCAGCCCGCCAGCCTGTCTCCGTTGTAGTACCGCAGTTGCGCCGACCGACTCTCAGCCCGCTTCGCCTGCGCAGCGAGGCAAAAGGCATGCGACACCAACGGGAGAGCCTCTTAAAACTAATTAAGATCACTGATGGTACAAAAATTGCGCAAGTTTGCCCTATAGGCTTCCAACAACCATTAATTTAATAGGCTGAATACCGAATCAACTAAGGATTTTACACTACAAAAACCAGGTCAACCATTTGTTTAATGGTCTTGGAAGTCTAGGGTATATGTAGCTCTTGATTTGCTGCCAATTCACTGCAACATCTTGGGATTGTCGGATGCCAAAACGATTTGTTGAGCAACCCAGGACCTGGCACTAACGGACTAACGCCATTCGTTCACTCGGTGCAGGGCCCCAGAATGCGATGCATTGGAATCTCTAGAGCCACAAAACCTATAGGAGTCATCCACCAGCACCCTCACTGCCAGATCTCCTGGTTCCTGGGCTTGTAGACTCTAGACCCTCAACATGGGTGGGTGAGCTATCATCCCTCTGCCTTTAGATGTGTGATTCATCATGCGCGTGGTTCTTGTCCGAAAGCGTCGGGGTGACCCAGCTTCGGCCTCGGTTTCTCGGTAGAAGCGGTCTAAGGACGCATGCTCCAATTCCTGGCGAAGGGGGGAGGCCGGGCGTTCAGGGCCGTCTGAGGGTCAAAGGGAGGCAAGCAGCCTGGTTCTGTGGATTACCTGCGCACATCAAGAAGATCTCAGTGAATCACCTGACTTTTGCATCACTCTTCGTTCTTTCCAGCTGCTGAAACTGAAGAACTGCAGGGAAACACATTTGGAGCTCTCCATCTGCTCTTGGTGGAATGGTGCAGGTCGCATTCTGGGAAGCCCACCGTGCAACGGGTCTCAAACGCTCCAAGGCATGGCGGCTATGGCCGTTGTTCCGGGGGAGGGAGCGGCCCGGGAGACTGGAACGCCTTCATACGCCCTCTATCCAATCATGGCGAAGGACGCCTCCAACGACGATGCAACGGTCGATGCAAAACGGCGGATCCACTTCAATTCCTTCGAAGGAAAGGCACCATGTGAGGCAAACGTCAATCCCAAGTTCAGCGACTGGGAGCGGAACCAAACAGCTGCCCACTGTCTGGACTTTTAGGCCTCAGGCACACACTGAGGAAACAGGGTGGCTGTGCTGGAGGCTGTTGCTCCATCCACTAAGACCTGAGGCGCTCTAATTGCTTCAAAGTGTCTGATTGCTTGCACCGGCTATCTGGAACGCGCCGTGGCAAGCTCTAATTCTATCTACATCCACAGAGCACAATCCCTGCATCCCTTGGTCTTGGAGGATTTCTCTGTGGCACGTCTGTTGCGTGAGTCATCCGACGTGGTGCTCAAGTGAGTCGGTGGCTGTGCTCAAAATCACATGCTAGCAGTAGAGACACAAAACCCAAAGGGGCTCCCTGTGAATTCCCTTATTTGTGCAAGATTGTCAGTTGTAATTAATCATTTTGACATTGATTCATTAAGAAAACAAACCACAACCGGAAGAAGGGGGCACTACAGGATGATGCTCATCAAATCACCCAAAAAGTTCAAATGATCCAGCCGATTCGCCGGACTCGCTCTTGGCCGCGCTGCAGTCAGGGAAGAGGTCTGTGAGGACGGTCTTCGAACCCAACAAGCTCCGGAAAATCAGCTTCTTGACGGTGTCCTCCGTCACGGTGGCACTGGAAGTCTTGATGTCATGAAATCCGTCGGCCTTGCCTTTGATCAACTCCATGGCCTTGACCATTGAGGATTCGAACACCATCAGGGAGTCATTGATCATGAATTTGCAGTTGTCCTTTAGGATGGACTTTGAGGTGGATGCTTTTGGGCACCTGCAATGTGGACACTGCTGCTCATACCCTGGGTTGCCATGGGGATTAAAGACGTAGTTGCACGATGTACACGCCAAAGATCCGTTTGGATTTGTCCGATAGCCATTTGGTGTCGTTGTCGTTGCTGTCTTCATGATCTCAGAGATGCTGATCGCCTTTGGGACCGCATCATCCGGGCGCTCCCCCACGAAGGACTGCTTCCCCAAGTCACACAAAGACTTCCGCATCGCCAAGAGAGGGTGTTGCTGTTCCTTCTCCTGTTGCATGGGGCACACGCCAAGAAGGCTTGACAATGGTGTTTTCATGATGTCGAACATCACCTCCACAAAGTCCGAGCCACATTCAAGGAAGATCACCTTGCCATCTGGTCCGTGCAGCAGCTGAACCTCCATGGCGCTATGGCGTTGCTCGTTGAGCCTGCAACAGGGTGCCGAGCCTAATTGCTGAAACATAACCCAAACACTCCATGGGACTGATATACTTACAGTACATACATTGGGGTAGTTTCATGGGTCAATGTAACCATAGATTGGGCGTTGCACATGGCCAAACTCTAGGTGGCTAACCGAACAGAAGACCCGCCTAGCATCGAACAAACCTATAGCTGATGATAGGACTAAACATGGCACAGTGACTGCTTCTAACATGGTTCCCGTACTCCCTTGCGATAGAACTTCATTCAGAATTCAGATAGTCTCAAAATCAAACAAACATTGTAACATGGAGGCAACAAAAAGACCGGTCTTTGTTCCTGTCCGGGGACTGTCGCCCTCTATCCAATCATAGAAGTGGCGAAGGACGCCTCAAAACACGCACTGTCCTCCATCTATACGACGACAATCCACGGCGGATCCACATGCGAGCAAACGCAAACCCTACAAGTTAAGCATATAGTTAAGCGATTGCAGGACTGAAAAAGTAGCTGCCCACTCTCGGACTTTTAGGCCTCAGGCGCACACTGAGGAACAGGGTGGCTGTGCTGGAGGCTGTTGCTTCATGCCATTCAACCACTAAGGCCCGAGGCGTTATTCATCACTTCAACAAGTGTCTCATTTCTTGCACCGGCTATCGGGAACGCGCCGTGGCAAGCTCTAATTATATCCACGGGAAAAACCCGTGCATCCCTTTGTTCTAGAGGATTTCTCTGTAGCATGTCTGTTGCGTGAGTCATCCGATGTGGTGCCCAAGTGGGTCAGTCTGTGGCAGTGCTCGATATCGATATCACATGCTAGAGACACAAAACCCAAAGGGCCTTCCTGTGAAATCACTTATATATGCGCCCGGAGTGCCCCGGAGGTAGTTGTCATTGTCAGGTGCAGTCATTTTGACATTCATTCTCAATCCAAACAAACAAAAAAGAAACAAACCACAACCGGAAGAAGGGGGCACCACAGGATGATGCTCATCAAATCACCCGAAAACTTCAAACGATCCAGCCGATTCGCTGGAGTCGCTCTTGGCCGCGCTGCAGTGCGGGAAGAGGTCTGTGAGGACGGTCTTGGAACCCAACAAGCTCTGGAAAATCAGCTTCTTGACCGTTTCCTCCGTCACGGTGGCACTGGAAGTCTTGACATCATGAAAACCATCGGCCTTCCCTTTGATCAACTCCATGGCCTTGACCATTGAGGATTCAAACACCATCAGGGAGTCATTGATCATGAACTTGCAGTTGTCCTTTAGGATGGACTTTGAGGGGAATGCTTTTGGGCTTTCGAACTGCTGCCCATACCCTTGGTACGGGGCGAAGCCACCCCAGGCGTAGTCCCCAATAGAGGCTTCTTCATGATTACAGCTTGGACACTGCTGCACATGGTTTGGGTACGAATTGGGATGAAAGGTGAAGCTGCACGATGCACACCTCAAATTACTGCCGTGAGCTGCCTGGTAGCCTGGCGGTGTGGCTGTCGGTTTGGGTGTTGTCTTCATAATCTCAGAGATGTTGATCGCCTTGGCGACCGCATCATCCGCGCGCTCCCCGACGAAGCACTGCTTCCCAAGTTCGCACAAAGACGTCCGCATCGCCAGGAGTGGGTGTTGTTCGTTCTTCTTTTGCGCGGGGCAAACGCCAAGTAGACTTGACAGTGGTGTGTTCATCATCTCGAACATCAGTTCCACAAAATCCGAGCCACATTCAAGGAAGACCACCTTGCCATCTGGTCCGTGCAGCAGCTGAACCTCCATGACGTTGGCGTTGCTCTTGGCATCGTTGCCCTTTGAGACTCCCTTTGGGCCCTTTAGCTTTGCAACTCGCATCATTGTGCCCCCTCCACTTGGCGACCTCTTGAAGCCAGCTACAGCAGCGCGCGGAACCGAACTGAACACCCAGAGCATCGAACAGAAGTGGCCAAAAAAAAAGACATTAAACCCAGCACAGTGACTGCTTGCGGCGTGGTTCCTGTGCTCCCTTGCGATATTAAATGATAAATATTCAGTCAGAAATCATCAGTGTAGTCTCAAAAATACCAAATCATGCAGGAGGTGACAAAGACTGGCAATGCGCATGGAAAACATCTCAAACTTGGATTACTATCCCACTGCCCCTAGCTTCATTTAGTCTACAGCACATATACACATGCATGTTTCTACCAGTGGACTGGCCACCGGGCTGCTCGCACCTCCTCAAGCTGATCGGGCTGAGCGCAGGTCGTGTCCGCCGCCTGCATCGCTTGCGACGCACGACGGGATGAGCCACCAGCATCGATGGATTTGCTTCAGGAAAAACATATTCACCACATTCGCCCGCAGGAAACAATAATCACGGTACCTCAAAATACAAAAAATATTCACCGGAACGGGGCCCCGGAGGTGCAAAACCCAGCTGACTCAGCTGAGAAGTCACATCCCCGGGGCTCCAGTTGAGGGGGCAAAATCCAAGAAGTGAAGTCACATGATCCACACATTGGGTGGACTGGACGAAGAAGAAGGAAGCACCCCCCAAATGTAGGTTCGGATTGTGGCCAACATAGAATCTGAACCTGAGTAACCTCTATATTGGATCACCAACCACCCAAAACACTGCCTCTTCCTATCACAATAGGGGTCAAATGGTTGTAGAGAATCTGGTTGGAAGCAACGGGTGGAACGCATCGCCAGTTGAGGCCTTTCAGGCAGGGCTCCTCATGATGCACTCCGGCTCATACCACTGCTCATACCCACCGACCACCAGGGCTACTTAAGTTACTTCCATTCAAACCACATCGTACAATACCTAATCGATCAGCCATTCAGTCATTTTGCCGCGCTCGTACGGATCATCGGTGTGGCGGAGCCGTTGATGCTGTTTCTCCACGCCAAGAAAAGCCGGAAAGCTGAGCAATGGCTGCAGCTATGGGTCAGTGGGGTCAAAATCAGGGAGGCAAAACACATGTATATATGACAATCAGTTGACTCACCTTACCAATATAATACTTCTCATCTGGCAGCCCAATTCGCTTCCACTATTCCACGACTAAAAATGTCTGTCTTTGGCAGTATGTTTAAGAATATGAGCCACAGGTTGGATTTCTGCCGGGTGGAGGCAAACTTTGACCCATGTTGATTTGCCTTTTGACCGACACCCCTATAAAACAATCAAACATCTCAAATTCATCTGTACTTCTGTCACTTGCGCCCGCCCCAATGGTGCAGGGCGAGACAAATGGGAGGCATCTCACAACCGAGGCACGACTCTTGCGTGGCACATCCCGGCAGGTTGGGACGTCTGGGGCCCCAAAAGCCTTAAATACTCGGGGATGCAGGAGGGGCGCACTCTTGAAGAACATTACAGAACATCTCATTACAGTTTGCTAAAGTTGATGTTCTTCAACAACATCGTTGGGTGCAAAGGCCTGCTTCCCTGCACAAACCTTACAGTTTGGAGCTACCTGTAAATCATTGTATAAATCGCAATCACCTCACAGTGCCGTTCAGGCGGCCGGGAACAGGTCGGTGAAGACTGTCTTGGAACCCAACAAACTCTGGACAATCAGCTTCTTAATGCACTCCTCAGTCACAGTGGCGGTTGATGTCTTGATATCACGAAAACCACCCACGTTGTTCTTCATCAGTTCCATGGCCTTCACGGTTGAGGCGTCGAACACCTTCAGCGCATCAGTGAGCATAAACTTGCAGTTGTCCTTCAAAATGGTTGGCTTTGGGCTGGGCTTGCAGGTAGGACACTGTTGCTCATGAGGATACTGCCTGGGCTGAAAGTTCTGGCCGCAAGACTGGCAACGCACTGATCCGTAGCCCAGTGCGCGGCGACCATTGCTGCTTGGGTCTATGTGACAGAAGGGGCAACTGGTCAAGTAATTTGGGTACTGGCCCGGCTGGAATTGATTTTGGCACGACTGACAGCTAAGATTTCCATTGGCCATTGCCTGATAGCCTTGAGGTGGGAATGACGGTGCCGTAGCCTTGAAGAGCTCTTGGATGTCAATTGCCTTGGCCAGCACGTCATTGGGAAGCTCCCCTTGGACGAAGGATTGCTTATCCAAGTCGGCCAACGAACTATGCATGGTCATGAGTGGGTGATCTTCTCCTCTCTTCCTCATGGGAAGTGCCAAAACACTCGACAGCGGTGCCTTCATGATCTTGAACATCAGTTCCACAAAGTCCGAGCCACACTCCACAAAAATCACCTTGCCATCTGGTCCGCGCAGCACTTGAACCTTCATGCGAAGGTCATTGGCTTTAGTGCCGCAGGGCGACGGTGGCATGAGGACCATGAAGGTGACAAAGTGTGACGGGCGTGCCTACCTCGTTGTGGCTTGAGCCTAACGACAAATTCGGTTCCAGAAAAATCCCCCTTCTGTCCTAACAAGACAAGTCAGGCACTTCCAATTAGCAGGCTGAGGAAGTCACATGATCCACACTTGAACGGATCAAGAGACAAACAGACCGAGACGCACCGCTAAGCCTGAAATGGTCGGCGCCTTTGGGCCACAGCTTTGGATAGTTTTGGATTGAGATTGCAGCCAGAACACTGCTGCACATCAATCGGATACTGCCTGGGCTGAGTCTGACGACAAAACCGACATTGCTCTATAACTCGAATCCCAGTGCGAGCACAAATACGGCGGTGGCACTGCTGATAGGGTCATCATGAGCTCCTGGATGTGAATCGGCTTGGCCAGCGCTCCAATTGGGAAGCTTCCCTTGGATGAAGCACTAGGGATCCAAGTATTTTCTGGGTCTTGTGAGAGTAGCGGAGACGTAAGTCTCCCAACGAAACGACTGGATCCAACGGAGACCCCCTAGGGCTCCTGGCCCATCTCCTGAGGTTCGGTGGTTGGGGTGGGTTTTGGGGGTCTAACCACCGAACCTGAGGAGATGGTTGGAGCCCTATAGGGACCTATACATGACAGTGTCTCCAATCACCTAACCTGAGAAGGTACGACTGGATCTCTAGGCGTCAGGGAAGGACTGCTTGTCCAAGTCGGTCAAGGAATTGTTGTGCATGATCGCTAGCGGACGGGCGAGAGGGGACTTCATGATCTTGAACATGAGCTCCTCAGAGTCAGAGCCACATTCCAGGAAAATCACTTTACCCTCTGGTCCATGCACTTGCACCTTCATGCCCATATCCTCGGTCTTATCCTGGACCTCTCGGTGGGACTTTCTCATATTGACAACGGGCATACTGGACCTGCCGTCGGCAGTGTCACCAAATGCGCCTTGAGCCTGAAAACGGACATTGGCCTGAGGGTGGGTATCGAGCTCAAAGTATTCTCACATGTGCAATCTGCAAGCATGAACTGGGTGCTTGACCCTGTTTAACCACTCGCCTTTTGGAACGGTCTTCAAGTACAATATCTTGCAATGTTCGCGGGCTTTGCTATAAATCATATAAGGCTAACTTCGCGAATGAAGTGATTCATGTGCTACAAGTGATGTGCTTGGTTATAGGCACCGCATGACCTCCCTCGCCGTCGCCCGCATCGTCTCGCCGTCGGCGCCTGTGCCCAGGCCTCCTCGACGGCCTCGGTCGCCGTCGAGGGGATCACGGCGAAGGCCAAGGGCGTTTGCAGCGGAGGCCTCGGGAGGGTGCGGAGTCTCTGCAGCGGCGGAAGTAAAGGGCTGAGGTCAGAAGGAAACAAAACGGGAGGTTCTTGAACCCAAACGCTCCATGGATGCCACATTTGCCTGTATTACATGGGGTGGGTTTGGGGGGTTCAATTCGGCGGCATATGTGCCAGTCCCATGGAGTGTATGGGGAATGGAATGCATGTTGGAGGGGAAAGGCGGCACGAATCGGGAGAATCAACACGTTTCGCAGTTGTTTTACCTGGTGGTCACCAGCTGAGCGTGAGTGGCCAAGAAGAATGGACATTTTTAGAGGTTGGACGTCTTTGGTCGCCAGACACCGTAGATCATCCGGAAACCAATAGGAAACCACAATGCTGGTGGCCACAGGAGACTAAACTAACATGCATTCGCTTGAGATGAGCTGTGGCACCGGCAGGGTATAGTGGGTTTCTTAGAGAACATGTGGATCTGGTGACCACTTCGGTGCACCTCAACTACCGACACCATCATGAGTTTGAGGTGAAGTTGCACCCAAAGCCAAATGAGTTGGTCCTTCACCTCAACTCAGGCAAATGCATCATGCGCCCAAATGAGTTCCCAAGGACCTCTAACCTCAATGCAAAACTCAACATCCGGGCCGCCATGTGCAGCCGGGCTTGATCCCCCCCATATCAGTCCAAAAGGGGTGAACTGCATGGACCCAAGACTGGCAAACCTGTGGACTTGGGGGGCACTTCTTCTCCATAGCGACTTGGGGGAACAAAACCCCCCTTCCCCCTTGCATCTCAAAAGCGAGTTAAACATCGCCAGGGCGCAATTCCTCCTCCTCCTGCTCTTTTGGCTGCTCCTGGTACTTTCAGCGAGGGTTCCAAAATGTTCCACTCACATGATGAGATTGTCTTCGACTTTGGGCCCCAGATCATGCTATAGTCCAAATCCGCCTTCCAAGTCATATGTGTACAGGGTAGTTCAGGGCACCCCCTCTTGCACTTCTCATCTCTCCTTGTGTGCAAAATGACATCCAAAGGCCCAAACACCAACAATGCATAGAGTTCTGCATTGATACTCATTGATTGACTTCAGGGTGCAAATTGGTCCCCAACCCGTCCCTGGCTCATAGGAACACAGAAACATCAGTGCGTTCTTCCCAATCCAATGTCCAAGCAGGGCTGCGAAAGTGCTTGAGGGAGGTTGACAGTGAGTGGAGTGTCTTATTTGTACTTTGACTTCCTGAAGATGTGGTACCTGGTACAGCTGATGAGCTTGGATTTGCATGAAAGATGCTTCCACCGAATATCCTTCGACCCAGTTCGGAACCATACCATACCTCACTAGGGCTCGAACCATATCCTCAGGTTCCTAGAGCCACCCAGACCGCCCCTGCCCCACCCGGTGCATCGCCCGACCACCTCCGCCGGCCGCGTGTCCACCACTGGACCTTCCGCGGAAAACGGCGGAACTACCCGGAGTTCACGACCGAAGGAGGACGAGCTGAGCACCAGCTGGGCGACTCCTCGGTCTTTGGGCAACTCCTCGGTCAACCAGGTCCCTAGGCTTGAGGTTGTCAGGTGAGCCAGATGTTCATCGCTGAACTGGCATGGCTTGGGTGGAAAAACGTCCTGGCTTGGGGGGGGGCAAGCCCAACTCTATATTATATGATGGAACTCCTGCCCAACAAAGACAGAACGCAAAAGGGTTTGCCCCAGGACCCAAGAATTTCCGGGGTGGTTCACGAACGCACCCATTTTTGCGGTGCTACAGTACTGGTTGATAATGGATACACCCCCGGGGGCTTGGGGGTCCTGACCTTCCTATCTCGCCCCACGTTCCTATCACCTGGAAAGACCAGGGTGGGCGGGCCGTCATGTCCGACCTCCAGGACAGACCGAAGAAACCACGGAAGAAAGACACATGGAAAACGTGTGTTTTACCAGCACCACCCAGTGGCATGGTGGTTGCTGTCGACCCCCCACTTCTAGATGTATTTTCCATCTTACAACCACCCCAAACTGGGTGGTGCTGGTACCTTTTATCTGGTCCAACTTGTGTATTCTATACCCCTAAGGATCCAGTCGTACCTCTGAGAAGGTGGGACTGGGGTGGGTGCCAGGAGGCTCCAAGTACCTTTTGAGAAGGTACTTGGATCCCTAGCTAGGGTACATATATAGTCTTGATATGATATATATATATATATTTAAATATATTATATAAATTCAAAAAGAAAAGTTTTCAACGGTAAACATATATACAGTTAAACAAAACACACACAACAGGAAGCTGACCGGTGGCATCCCAAGTTTGTTTCCAAAATACTAGCGTACTCTGATCAAGCTAGCGAGTTGTTCGGTTACCATCTTCCATTTGTCCTCAAGTCATGGCTATACCATTCCTATACATGTTCCCCGTTCCTACTCTAGCTGCTAGCTGTTCTGAACCAATCCAGGCTTCGTGCTTCCCAAGCAGGTCCTGAGCCGTGTCCATGGAAAAGAGAGGTTGACAATAACTATAACCCTTTTCTACCAGTGTGGAAACCCCCAGAAACCACTCCCAAAAACAGGTTAAAGGATGTTAAAGGTGATCCACTTTTCCTGGGTATGACCACACACATCCATCCACCACCCATCCATTTCAGAACCCGAACAAGCCTGACACGGACAGCGCGGACGACTTGGCCGCCGCTTGGCCCGCCGCTTGGCCCGCCGTGGCCGCGTGGGCTGCCGCGTCGCCGGCCACATCCAGGAAGAAGGGCAGCTCCTGTGCACGGCCCATGGTCACGCTCGGCACGCTGCATGGGGCGCTCCGGGTCCCACCCGTATCCGTTGCAGGCTGTGGGCCAAACATCCCCATGTATACCACATGATACCACATGCATGTATGCCCGGTCAACGCAAAAATCGGAAGAGTACTGCGCACTAGCCATCACCACATCTGCTCATCTAGTAGAACGACACGTACGGGACCGACTGCTCGCTCCGTCCTCTTCCACCTCTGCCGCGTCGGCGACCGCTGGCCGCAGCTGCGGTGGCGTGCGGGCACTGGACCTTGGGCGCCGCTTCGGCACCCGCGCAGGCCATGCCAAGGTACTGGGATTTGAGGATTATTTTTGGGGGGAATACTTCCCTAGGCTGGAGATTAGTAGCGGCCTCCAACCTACTGGCCATAGCCTCCAACCTGGAATGGCCTCCAACTGAAGATACTTTTTTGGAATACTTCCCTGGAGATTAACATGGAACCCCTTTCAACCACTGGGTGGGTATTCGGAAAACCACTTATCCAATTCTCAGGTTCCATACGGCACCACGGGGTCTGTGCGGGTTGCTGTAGTGGAGCTGCATGACGGTGCCCACGATCATCCCACGATCCACTCCGTCCAATTCTGGAGAAAGGGTTCTGGAGAACGGTCCAAGGTGGCAATCCGTTTGGGTATCAAGACCTCAACAGATCCGTCAGATCCGGCGCATTTGGACGGATTTGTATATGCTGGAAAGCGGTGAGGCCTCCACAAGGAATCATTTGCTTATGTGCATCTATTTGTATGCTTTGAGTGGTCAAACGCCCTCAAAAGTTGTTTTTGACACCCCTTTTCTTTAAGACATATTGACTCCGCTGTTTGCTTTTTGACTCCACTGGTCTTTTGATCCCACAAACATATTGTTTCCGCCCAGCAGTCGAACTGGCGGCCCAGCCGCTTGCCCCGGATCCGGCGGCTCCGCCGCCGTGGGCCCCGCGTCGCGAGCGACGTGGCGCGGCGCCAGCAGCGCTTGCGCCGCGCGAGGCGGGAGAGGTGCAAAGCGCTCATGGGCGAAGCGTAGCCAGGCGTTTCTCTACATCTGAGTCGCGTTGAAGCGTGGAATGGTCCGAATACCGTTGGTGGGCGCTGAGTGGCGCTGGTCGTTGTTTTGAAGTCAAAGTGAGTGGGACTTGGGCCATCGACTGGGATGAAGACTGAGATCCAGGCACACATCTGTGTCCCAATCTGATGGAAACATCAACGACATATATTATACCAACGAGATGTAAGAAGAATTATGGAAAAATGATCGATATACTCTTTCAACTACTCTTTCATACTTGTCCAATATACGTGGGGACAATAGTACACCAACATCTCTGACTATATGTTTGTCTGCCGTGGATTTCATGCCGCGATGTTGTTTGTTGCACCGCAACGATGGACGGTACTCTCTTCCTTGGGCCGAGCAGAACATCTCAAGCTCCAGCGATCCTCCCGGATCGAGCTCCGAAAGTCTGCACCAAGCAGGCTCTCACATGTCACATGTCTTAGACATTTAGGGTTGGGATCCGGAGGTGGGACTTCAAGATGCTTGTGAAGCTTGAGAAGAGGGAATGAGATTGAAGGAGTATCAGCATGTATCAGCTTATCTTAAGTCCATTAGTTTCTTGTAACTCTATCATGTATCTGTGCTTTAAAGCATTCTAAAACCATCAAGTCCTTTGGATAGCATGTTCAATTTCAGCTCCATGATCGGTCGCTGATGGATGACGATGGGGTCGCAAAGATCGTGGTGGTTCGCGAAGCACGGTACATGTGGGGACCCATGTTATTTGGGGGTGCCTCCGACTCCAATGGAAAAAGGAGTCAACTGCCTAAAACTCGTGCAGGTTTTTCGGGTCAAAGCCATGAGCCATATACGGCCATATAGCCATATCCAGATCATCCAGTTCGACCCACCTACCCAGTTGGACCCTGAAGAAAGACGCGGCTGGCGCTAAGTACAACTCTTTATTCTCGGGCGATGCTCGGTTGCAGCTTCATGGACAAAAAGGTTGGCGGTTTGGTGGCTGATGCAAATCGATTTACTGCACTCTTGCATTGGACGGGACGTTCCTCCGAGTGAGGCAAACCAGTCGCACATCCTCCCAAAAATTCAATCCTTGGGAGTACCTTCTCAGAAGGTGCTTGGACCCTCCAAACCTACATAACAGTGTCTCAGATCACCTAACCGAGATCTTCTGAGGTGCGGTACTTGGATTGGATCCCTAAGGAATTGTTCAAAAAACGAGCCGTGTGGATTTCAAGCAAGCAGCTTCTCGGAGGTCCTTGCGGGGGCAAAGCTGAAGCATCTGCAGTTCCCCCCCGGACCGGGATTGGGATCCTGCCAGTGGACGCAGTATAACGACAACAACCCAAACACTCCATGGAAGCTGGCAGCATATCTAGGCACAGGCATAACAGGCAACCAGTAGACTGTAGACTCAAAGACTTTAGACACATCGACGACATCCTGGTCATTCGGATCTGCCATGGTCACTGGGATCCGGCATCATAAACATAGGGCCTTTCCCAAATTACATCAAATTACCAGGGCAACCGAAGACGGCTTGACAGTTTTACTGGGACAAGCCCAAGGTATAACATGGTACAACTAGAGATTCAAACATCTCCAGACTGGGAGTCGGCAAGCCGACTCATTCAGCAGAAAACTCTCTGCAGCTCAAGCCTAAGACTGCTCTAACTAGAAGCACATTCCGCCACAAGGTTAAAAGGAAGAAAGGTTTACCAGGTTACCACCAACCGGGTCATGGGTAGGTAGGCATTCACCTCCAGCTCAACGTCCCATTCCTTAAAAAAGCCAAACAGCTGGCTTTTTGCCTCGGCTCTTTGCGCACGAGACGGAAGCCAGTGGTTGGCCCAGCATCACCATTCCGCTCGCCCACATCAGTGTTCTCCAGCTGACTTGCCCATGAGCTTGAGAAATTCCAGTGGCGAGTACGTCGAGAATTGGCTGTGCACTACGCAGTGGGCCAAGCGGGCATGCCGGAGAGCGGGAGGCATATAACCCAAACAGGTTCGCAAAAGGATTTCTGAGGCCTTCAGTGGTCTCCATGGATCCTATCATGGTAGCTGCAGCAACCGGTGGTGACCACCACTGAAGCCTGGCACGTCCATGAGATAATTTATAGCCTCGGAAATGCTAGCAGTGTTGATCTAGGCGCGCACCTGTTGTGCAAACAACAGCAGCCTGCAGAGTCGTTTCCGTGAACGGAAACGCTTCACATGCAATTTATACATATAAGTCTGCAGTAGAAGATATTAACGCTCTATACTGTTCGATATGTCCATTGTATCATAGATTCAACATGATTCAACCTAGTGGCTCAATACATGAAACTTCCACCCCCGCCACTCTCTTGTTTCCACGGCCCAACTATAGTTTATTTCCTTCGGCCCCACCCGCTCCCCATCTCCCCTCCCGATCGCCCGTGGCCCGATGGTCTGTGCCTAGTTGGAAAGCTGCTCGGAGGCCCCGAAAGCGAAAGCTGCGTATTCAAACTTGCATAATGAGCAACCCCTACCAATCGTCATTGATTACATGGAGTGAAAAAACCACCTGTTTGGTGTTCAGATTTCTTGGTCATCCGAAATTGGGCCCATTTCCTAGTGATTCCTGGGAGTGTACCAATTATGGTCTGAAGTGTCCCTGTACAGCCCAGGTGTGCTTTTTTGATCTCTGAGAAAGACCACCAGCCGTGTTGCTGGGGAATTGCTTTGGCTGCTAGAATCCAACCAACACCCATCTCTGGATTTTCTTCAACGAGTCCGTGACTTTTCGGGTTGCTGGGTGAGCATGTCGCCTCAACAAACACATACAAAACAACACCATCCTTGAGGTCTAAGGACGGCTTGGCGACCGAGATCCTCCAGTGAGTAAGGAGGTGCTTTCCTGGAGCTAATAAGTAAGTGTACGGTACTCCAAATCATAATTACGGTCCAAGCCAAGCACTTGTCAACTTCAGCATGTCTATAGCTAAGTGAACCCAAAACTCCCTGTAGACTGTAGACCTTTGGTTCGCCCTTCAGCAGGGCAATATGATGCAATATGGATGCGCTGGTTCGCTCCCTTCACACCAGCTAGATCTTTCCACATAAGGGGCAGCTTTGACTTCGGAAGCTCCTGCAGCGCAGTCGCCTGTGCATGCAACAGGTGGCTCAAGGTGTGGAACCCCCTTCCCGCAGTCTCTGTTCGATCGGCAGTGGGGGCGTAACATCAGGATGATGCAAGCTATGAACACCTAATATTGGTTCCCCGGGTTATAATTATGAGGAAACACACCAATCCAAACCACATTAGACATATATATCCATTAAACACACAAAGCACCGTTCATGCATCCAGGGGACATCACAAGCATCGTTTGAAAGTCAGTCCGCCGGGAACTCAGATTTCCTCGGTCCATGTTACATAGAACCGACCTGTTCGGTGGGAACTCTGCAGCTCGTCGTTCCGAGTCGATCCATGGAAGGAAAAGCCTAGCCATGTCCCTAGACACCAGAATCCCAAGCATCCTGCGGCTCTGTCCGAGCCTAGCATGGCTTGGAGATCCATCACACACCCACAGATCCATCCAACCAACCGTAGCCAACCCATGGATCCAAGCTCCAAATGTTTGACCAGTAAGGCTCCCAAGACCAAAATGTGATGCACTCCATGTACTCCTTGGAAGTATCCCGAGGATTGAAAGAAACATGAAGAACGGACCAATGGGGTGTTCAGCACCAAAGGCAAACATCACCTGAGCACGGCCTGGAAAGACCAAATGCACTCCAACAGAAATCACACCAGCACCATCTAGGTCGGGTGGTTGATAGACTGACCCTCGAATCCTACGCATGTGTTTTCCATCCAATCACCATCAATGGGTGTTGGCACGCGGCATTTGATCTTGGACAACTTCTTCATTCTTCACATCTTCTCATGCCGAGATCTCCACATCTTCTTGAGCCAAAAAAACAGTGCCAGTTCGAAGCCAAAGAACTTCCACCACGTTGGGTGAGAAAGCCACGGACTGCCTGATGATATGCCACGGACTAATCTGCTGGTGACTTTTTAAGCTGATGAGAAATGTCCTCTGGGTTGAAATGTTCTCTGCATTGAAGTACATCGACGCACAGTAAGGAGATGCAGTAAAGGAACATTGCCAACATTGCCCTGACCAAAACCGGTGGGAATAATGAATGTCATTGATTTCATCTTCTGCAGCCTTATGTCCGCTATCTGTATATATATATATAGAGAATCTATATGAAAAAGATTGAAAAAGTAAACCCCCACCAGCCAAATATCCTCATGGAGTCCATGGTCTTGCCCATGGAACCCATCGGCCAGTCTTGCCTACCATGACTTTCTCAAGATGTGATACTCCCCTTCAAACTGCGAAACCATACAGACCATGGCTTTCCAGGGCTTCGCCCATGTCGCTGCCAAAGCGATCTCGGCCCGGGGCGCTTCGCCCCGGCGATCGAAGATGATTCGATCCGCGTGGAGTCGATCGGCACAGCGCAGGGGCGGAAAGTTGGAGCTCTGCCGAAGACCAAACAAGGGCAGAGTTAGGGCGGAGGTTCGCCATAGAATTTGGACCATTCCAGTCCCAGATGGGACATGGTGCTAGGGACTCACAAAAAAGCAAAGAAAACGATGAAAGACTCCAAGCAAGACACCGTCAGCATGTGATTGCTTGTCCACCAGTCCGGATTCAGCCTCTCGGCCCAGCCGTTCACAGGCTTAGTAGAGAGTGACTGGAAGTGACGATGAACATTATCGATCCGAAGCCCAGTGGAAAACCGTTGGTCTGTGGACTGATCCAAGCATGGGCTGGTGGATTTTAGGCATCAAATAGAGACATGCACTGCCCCCTCCCAGTTCCTAAGATAACAATTTCAATGGGGCACCCCAAATCTACCTGTTTTTTTGTTTGGGTCATGTCCCCTTTTCCAGAGTACTTGATCATGAAGTCGGGTCCAGGCAGTAGTGTCCTGATGGAGATGCTTGCGGATGTTAGCCATTCGATCGTTCCAGATTCGACAACCCGC